CTAAAAAGAAGAGCTATATGCATATATGTATATATGTATGTATATATATATATATATATATATATATATATATATATATATATATATATATATATATATATATATATATATATATATATATATATATATATATATATATATATATATATATATATATATATACACTACCTAAAAAAATTAGAGGAACACTGTGTAATCAGAGTATAGCATCAAGTTAATTAAACTTCTCGGATATTGATTTGGTCAGGTAAGGAGCAGAGACGGTTGTTAATCAGTTTCAGCTGCTTTGGTGTTGATGAAATTAACAACAGGTGCACTAGAGGGGCAACAACGAGACAACCATCAAAACAGGAATGGTTTTACAGGTGGAGGCCACTGACATTTTTTCCCGTCCTCATCTTTTCTGACTCTTTTTCACCAGTTTTGCATTTGGCTAGGGTCGCTGTCACTACTGTTAGCATGAGGCACTACCTGGACCTTACAGAGGTTGCACAGGCAGTCCAACTCCTCCAGGATGGCACATCAATAAGTGCCATCACCAGAAGGTTTGCTGTGCCTCCCAGCACAATCTCAATAGCATGGAGGAGATTCCAGGAGACAGGCAGTTACTCCAGGAGAGCTGAACAGGGCCGTAGAAGGTCTACAACCCATCAGCAGGACCTGTATCTGCTCCTTTGTGCAAGGAGGAGCAGGAGGAGCACTGCCAGAGTCCTACAAAATGACCTCCACCAGGCCACTGGTGTGAATGTCTCTGACCAAACAATCAGGAACAGACTTCACTAGGTTGGCCTGAGGGCCCGACGTCCTCTAGTGGGCCCTGTGCTCACTGCCCGGCACCTCGGAGCTCGATTGGCATTTGCCACAGAACACCAGAATTGGCAAGTCCGCCACTGGCACCCTGTGCTTTTCACAGATGAGAGCAGGTTCACCCAGAGCACATGTGACAGACGTGAAAGGGTCTGTAGAAGCCGTGGAGAATGTTATGCTGCCTATAACATCGTTCAGCATGACCGGTTTGGTGGTCAGTGATGGTCTGGGGAGGCATATCGGTGGAGGGACGCACAGACCTATACATGCTAGACAATGGCACCCTGGCCGCCATTAGGTATCGGGATGAAATCCTTGCACCCATTGTCAGACCCTATGCTGGTCCAGTGGGTCCTACAGTGGGTCCTCGGGGCAGTGACCCCCAAACTTGAGTGGCTACAGCAGATCCCTGGAAATACATCAGATATCTCGGTCGAGAAAAGTGAAAGTCTGTGCCAAAAACTTTTATAAAAATGAAATTACCATTCTTTCCTTAATTTATACACTTAGAAGATTAAAGTAGATGGTTCAAATTAAGATGCACTCTTTTTTTAATTAGCATTTTTATTTATCCATTTTTTTTCCAGTCAGGATTTTGAGAGGCCACTTGTCGGTTTGATGATCTGGTGGTCGATTCTAACACATGTCAAAATTGTTATAGTTACATTTTTTATTTAGTTTTCCAAGTAATTCAGACCCAATCCATAAATGTCACTTTTTTTTTTTTTTTTTGGTAGTTTGTTGGTTTGGTAACTGTTCGCCCCTCTTTGTTTCTCGTCAAGGGGGAGAGAGTCGTGTTTGCTCATAGTTAACATTACTCATATTTTCTTTGAAGGTGACTTTCTAATTTTGGGTAGAATGGGTGAAATGATACTCATTAAAATGCATGTATTGTATCCTTATAACCCAATATATATATATATATATATATATATATATATATATATATATATATATATATATATATATATATATATATATATATATATATATATATATATATATTTATATGGAAAAAAAGAAAAGTGAATTTTGCATAATATGGAACATTTAAGAATATATTGCCTCTTATTTCCACTTCCATTTTATATATGATAACTTATCCCTGTTACAGGGACATGTACTGCCTATAATTATAGACCTATCTAATCTTCCTTATGTAAAATGATTGAGAAAATAGCTGCTAATGAAATGCACTTACACCTTTATGACCTTTTTGAAGAGTTTTTCTCAGGTATTAGAGGTCATCATAGCACTGAAATAGCACTTGTGCGATTCACTAATGATATTTTCATTGCCTTGGATATTAGACTTGTGTTTGTACTCGTCCTTTTAGATCTCAGTGCTGTGTTGGATACAGTTAATCATAATATTCCATAGGACTAGGTGACGGGCCAAACAAATTACAACAATTAGTACGTGGGGAGTGCTTTCTGCCGTTTTTGGAAGTTGCTGGTTTAGTGGCAGGACCTGTGCGATGAGTAGGGTTGTGTGGATAAAATTCATACAGGGGGGTTAGTTGTATCCTAATTATACCTTATTCGTTATGTTGGTAAAATGCTGGAAAGGAATGCAGAAAGAGGGGAATTGAGTGAAGTCTGATGATGAAACTTGTTCTCATAGTAGCTTCATCTGTTCGGTTCCCGCTTTGCTGTGACACCATCCTGCTGCCATAAACACCTTCGATTATAGATGATGGAATTGGGCATGTTGTTTAGCGTTAGTCCTGTTTCCCTCCTAGACATAGCTATGGGATCAACTTTTACTGGTACTAACTGTAAGTGCTCTCCTTTATCCCTTTGACATGAAAACTTATGAAGACAGGAAAAAGCCTTGCAAAATTACCTCCAGCAAACCACAAGTGTGCATGTGTTTGCAGTGCAGTGTTTCATGTTGATGCGGGTGGCCCTGGGTTCCTCCTAATGTGGACGGCGAATCCAGGAATGGGTAGATGCTTTAGTCCAGGTTGAAGCTTATCCATTACATAGATTACATGCATGTCTTGAAGACATAAAAATCTGGATGACTCTTATCTTTCGCTCCTGAATGCAAACAAAACACAAACTTATAGTCTGTGGACCTGAGTCTTTGAAAAAGAAGCGGATTAGTCTGTCACTTAATTTGAATGGGATTAAATTGAGCTGAGACAATAAAGTAAAAAATCTTAGTGTTATTTGAAATCCCATATCAAATAGGTTTCTAGAATTTCCTTCTTCCATCTGCTTGAATATTGCAAAAAATTGAAATATCCTGTCCAGGGGTAATGCTAATAAACTATCATTTGTTACTTCAAGGCTGGAAATATTGTAATTCTTTACTATCAAGAAGTCCACAAACTATAGTTAAAAGCCTTCAGCTGATCCAAAAAGCTGCAGCCAGAGTTCTGATGAAAATTAAAAAGAGAGATCATATCTCTCCTATTCTAGCTTCTCGTCATTGGCCTACTGTTAAATCCAGAATAGAATTTAAAATCCTCCTTCTCACATATAAAGCCTCAAATGGCCAAGCTCCATCTTATATCAGAGATGTGATTGTTCCTTTTGTCCTTAACAGAGCATTTTGCTCTCAATCTGCAGGTTTACTATTGGTTCCTAGAATTTCTATAAGTAGAATGGGAGGCAGATCTTTTAGTTATCGGGCTCTTCTCCTGTGGAACCAACTATCAGTTTTAGTCTGAGAGGCAGACACCCTGAGTAGGCTTAAAACTTTCCTTTTTGATTGAACTTATATTTAGAGTGGCTCAGGTTATCCATTGCCACCACTATAGTTACTGTATGCTGCTGTACTGTAGGCTTAGACTGCTGGAGGACATAATTCTTCTTCATTCAATCTCTATTCTCCCATTCTACACAATGTATTAGTTAAATGTCTAACATTATGCTCTCTCTTTTTCTCATAGTAGCTTCTTCTGGCCTGTTCTTGTTTGGCTGTGACACCATCCGGGAGAGCAGTATCAGCTGTGCTGCTCCCATCAACACCTTTGTTTATAGATCTTTGAGTCTGCCTATTTTTCAATGTAGTCCTGTTTCCCTAACTGTGACTAACTGGATGTGCTCTCTTCGTCTTCTGACATGGGAGTTGGCTCGGAGCTTGTTTGCCTGGTTGTGTTTCCTGGACAGTGTCGCCTGTCGAGCTGGTTGACAAGTTCCTTTGTATCTCGGCTTCTGTCTCCTTGAACCCCAGTCGGCCTCGGCAGATGGCCGATCACACTGAGCCTGGTTCTGCTGAAGGTTTATTCCTGTTAAGAGTTTTTACTCTCAACTGTCGCTATAAGCATGCTTGGTGTGAAGGATTGCTGAAGAGACAATGAGTCGATGCAATCAACTGGTTCTCCTTAGATAGAAAACTTTGAAACAATTTGACTGGATGATCTGGTCTAATTGTAAAGTGCCTTGAGATGACATGTGTTGCGAATTGGTGCTATACAAACTGAATTGAAATAATGACGACTCTTAAGTGTTCAAAATAAAAGAACAAGAGTTTTATTTTCAATTTCTTACTAAATTCCCTCTATTTTTCAGACTGTGGGAACCTTGATATTAATGGCAGTGTCTATATCCAAGCCTAAATGGATAAAACCAAGTAGATGTGATTTACAGTAAATCCAGAATAACACCATTCAAAATTGGAAAATTAATTGAAAAAGTATTATCATTAAAATGCCCAATTGAAAAATGTTCATGCTGATGAGTGTATGTAAAGTCCTGCTTTAATTGAATTATTGCTACAGGACATTTGTGTTGTTTTGTGGATTTCATGCCTTTAAACAGAATTAAACAACCACTTGTTGTAGCTCCATTATTAGCGGCTCAGCTTTATATTTGAAAATAAAAATTACATAATAAAACCATTTGACTAGAATGCAGTGGCTAAACTATTATTGGCGGTCCCAATAAGTCCAAACAAGCAGCTTGGAGTCACATGTCAGTGTTGTTTCCATGGCAACACAAGGCATGGAAACTGTGATGATCTTTTCTCAGTCTCCAGAGACTCTCACACTTGTCTCTGAAGGACAAACATTAAACAATGTTTCTTTTCTGCCTCTTTATATGCTCCCCTCCCTCCTTTCTTAACAACTGAACACCATCAATCTAACCATTTAGTTTAACTTTATTTTTCACTCCATTAGTTTCTAGGACACCGAGCGCATTGTTAAGAAGGTGGTATGTGAAAAAATAAAAAGACAGTTTGACTCCTTTGAGAGATAAAATGTATTTTCACAGTTAACTTGCTTTCATATATTATTTGCCAACAAAGGGATGTGGGATGATTCTAGACCTGCTTTGCACAGGTACCGAGTCCTTAGGATATCAGTGATGATCTTTAGAGGATGCTTATGTCTCTCTGTGGGAGAGAGAGCAGAAAGGAGCGTCCAGCTGAAGACATTCAGTGAAACACCATCGGCTTGATCATTCAACAGAAAATCAGTTTATTTATTATGAACCATTTTTTCCCCGCGGGTGACTCCATGCCTTCTGTAATGACTTTTAAAGCGGAAAATCAGAGACACATCCTGTTCTGACAATAGTAAAGAAAACATCTACTTGTCTTTCTCTCCATCTCTGATGGGTTTACAGTGAAGCAGCTCAGCCAAATGAATGTATAAACATCATTTATTCCACGAGGTGCGCACCCTCCCTGCACCGGCCTCACCATTACATGCTATTATCCACCAGCATGCTCTGGCATTGATAGATGCCTTCTGCTTCATTAGCTGCAGTCTGCTCTGACAATCACTTACACAATATCAAACAGCTTTGGCTAGAAATCTAATGAGCCAAATAGCAGATGGGACGATTTACATCATGTTAAAAATGTCCTACTTTCTGTTCCTCTACGACGTCAGGTGGTTCATTCGGTGGTGGTGCTGATTGTTGATATTTGGGGAAACATGACAAACATCAAAGACAGCTCCAGTAAAATAACAGACCACCTTTTTAGTCGTAAACAGCAGGTAAACTATAACCTGGAATACCACATTAATATTATAGGTAACAGAGTCACAGTTTGCTGTTTTTCTGAAACTGGGAAACAAGCCCCAAAACTTGCTCTGATGCTGCCACAACTTTATTCTGAAGGTATAGAGCGCTGTTTTTAGACGTCTCGTTCAGGAAGTAGCGATAGTTCACCATGATTCCACAGGAGTTTGCCATGCCCCTGGGGCTGGTGTCAGCACGCCAGTTGATCCGCCACATGGTGGCGCCGTTTTGCAGGTGGAAGTTGGCCACAGGATTGAGAGCATAGCCTCGCCGCTTTTCTCCGTAGAGGTACCACGCACAGAGGCGCATGAGGACAGGCTCTAGGGCGTGGGACAGCTTCTCTGAGCGCGTCCACTCACCGGTGGCAAGAAGCTTACGCAAAGAGTCCACAGGTGGAGTCCCTGGGCTAGTGTTGATGGTCTTCTCCACTTCTTTCCACTCCTGCTCGGACAAAAGGTCCGCTGCCCGGCCTTCCTTCCTGTACTGGCTCAGAAGGCCTTGAAGCCAGGATGAGAACCCAGGAATGGGTGATAGACTGGAAAACTGAGCCATATGAGGGAACTCACTCTGAAAATGAAGCAAAAAACAGAATACTTAATTAAACCCTTTAAAAAGTATGAACTTTAAATAACTCAAAATCTATCTTTAAAGATCTTTGTAAAGATTACACATTTTATAAAACTTTTATGGTTAAAAAAAAAAAAAAAAAACTGCTACAGCTACATCTCTGTTTAAGCCTAACTTAGTAGTCGATGTATGTACATGATGTTTCACTTAAATCTGAGAAGGTAGGATAATAATCTTTATTTGTTGTAGTAACATTTGTAGATTGTAATAAAAAAATGTCCTCTCTGTCAGTTCCCTGAAGCCGCCTTTTGCAGCTGCCTGGTAGATCTAAAAGGGATGGAGAAGAGCCGACAGTGAGGAAATCTTAAGAAGCCTTCTGTCTTCGCTGAGTATAAAGGACACCAGTTTTAAAGGAAGAAAAACAAGGAATGGAGATTTAACCTCAGTGTAAATACACAATGATAACGTCCTTGTTTTTGCTCAGGCTGCTCGACCCCTTTAGTTCCACAGGCTGTGACTTCATTACGAATCCTCTCAGCTGCTTCATGAATCTGCCCTGCTGATAGTGATAGATGATCCTCTCTGTCTACTTCTCCCTCTTATTCTCTCCTACCCTTTCATCCCTTGCACTCTCACCTATAATACCTGTTCTCCTCTGTAACTGCAAACCCTCCTGTGTCTCTGTCTCATCTGAAATCAGTCATCCACAGATCTCAGCTCGCTGCCGCCTCGCCTCCACTTTCTTTTAGCAGAAAGAAAAAGCCTCCCTCTTCTTTTCAGACAGATTTGTGTGCTTAGGTGTCCACGTTAATAAGCGAGAGACCAATATGTCAGGCAGAAAGGCAATAGCTGTCTATGAAAGTGGATGTGTGAGACACCCCCTGGTAGGACATTTTATTTTTCTTTTGCTTTCCCTTTTTTTATCCACCTTTCAATTTAAAATTCAAGGCCCCGTGCTGGCTCTCCCCTTTGTGCTTCTTCACACTTGACTGTGTTGTAGCTCTACCTTTTTCACACCAAGCTCTGGGTGATGTTTCAGTTTTAGAAAGCAAAACTCGATGAAAAAGAGTGTAAGAAAAAGTATGAAATCAGCAGGAAAGGTGAAAAAGGAACATGAAGGAAATGATGCAGGAGAGAGGTGTGCCACGGTTCTGCTTGGGGGGTCAAATCTACCAAGACAAGCAAGACATTCCTCCTTCACCTGCAATTGCAAAAGTGACCTTTTCTTTCCCAGTTTATCATCTATCCATCTTTACAGTGAATCCTCTGTGGCAATGCTTCCCAATCACCTTTATGATAGGCTAATCTATGTCAGGAAGCCTGGATCTCTGTAGATCACAGCTTAGCTTCCCGGATAGACCAATGCACTCACAATGCCAGGGTCAGCCACTTTAAAAGCACATTACTTCAACACCAACAGCAACTCAGCCATCAGGTGACAGCACCTAATTTCATTTAAGTATTCTGATGTGGCGATTCCCCGAAATTCTATTTTTACTATACTCAAATTATTTCACCAAATTATGTGAAAACAAATATGACATTTGAGAAAACTGCAGCAGGACCAAAATGGTGAATCTTTTTCACAGAATTTCTCATGTTGCCATGTTTAGTATGTTTGTATTCTTCTGCTTTTAGAAGGCAAGTTGCTACCACCGTAGTTTCAAAGTCTCAGAAAGATAATCATGCTTGGCCATCTTGAGATGAAATTTCTATACTCTTACACACAGCACAGCAAAGCTGAAGGTAAAATACATACACAATACATAGCTGAATCAGGCTCCATTGTGGAACCAACTACCAGTTTTAGTGCTTGAGGCCGACACTCTGTCTACTCTTAAGACTAGGCCTAAAACTTTCCTTTTTGATAAAGGTTATAGTCAGAGTGGCTCGGGTTATACAGAGTTATATCTTTAGTTATGCTGCTATAGGATTAGACTGATGGAGGACATAGAGACCACTTTTCATCATTCTGCTTTATCCTTTTTATATTCTCCCTTTCTGCAGTATTTGTTAGTAAAATCCCTATATTTTTATTAGCTCTGCTTTTTCTTTGGCTGTGACACCATCCTGGAGGGAAATATCGTCTGGTCCGCTGCCATCAACGGCTTCAGTTATAGATGGGTCGAGTAAGGGCTGTTTGTTAGCGTCTAACTTAACAGAAGCAACGCCGTGGCTAAGCTGATCAAATCAAGCCCACTGTAGTATCTCATTACTGTATTAGGGATACATTTTTCTAACAGTTTAACCCTTCTCTGGTGAGTCTTCATCTCTCATTGGTGACATAACAGCTATGCAGGTTCAAATAATAGTTGTGCTAGAAAGAATTTGAATATAATAGAATTTAACTTTATTGTTGTCAAACTGTCACAAGAATAAAGCAACGAAATGAACTCTCTGCATTTAACCCATCTTCTTGGGGAGCAGTGGGCTGCCATTGTGCAGTGCCCGGGGAACAGTTTGGGGTTAAGGGTCTTGCTCAGGGAGCCAGAGTAGCAGTTTGTGGGAGTGTGGCTTGAACTCTGGGATCCAAACTCAATCCCCTAACCCAGGGGTCTGCAACCTGCGGCTCCGGAGCCACATATGGCTCTTTGGACCCTCTCCACCGGCTCTTAATACTGGCTAAAATGTATATAAAGAGCTAAATAATTTACTATAATATATACCGGTATCAATAGCTTTAGCGTTTTTTATAAGATGGAAGAGAATGAGTTTAAAAGAACCAGAAATATATTTTCAGAGACATTTCTCTATGAATTAGCTTGAGAATTATATGTTTTAACATTAAAAATATATGAATTGATTGTTTGAGATGGCAACAACTAATTTCCTATACAAGCTTTTAAAAAAAAGGTTTTCTAGAAAAAGTCATGGTATTATTTGCGGCTCTAAACAACTTTTATTTGGTCGTACTCTGGGCAAAACGGCTCTTTGGATATGAAAGGTTGCAGACCCCTGCCCTAACCAATAGGTCACCACTCTCACTCATGTAAAAGGTCTGATAAGCCCTTCAAACGACTCTTTGTGGGGGCCCTTTTTTACGAGTTATTCCATGTGCTTGAATTGCAACTAGTGCTAAATGTGAACATAGTTTAAAGTAGTGTACAGGGAATGATATGGCGGCATATCAGCCTATGGAAATAATTACGTTCAAGCAATGATTGGTTCATCTGAGATGAGCAAGGGTCTGGAGTGAGAAGATTAAAAAAAACTATTTCCATTCTAGAAGTTAAAGTAGATGGATAGAGGTCCATCTGCTATTCAGCCTTTGGTTCAGTGGGATAGGTAAAAATCACAGATGAGAAAAGAAGAGAAAGCCTGTCATTTTTCTGCCTGGTTCATGTCTGCAGGCTATTTACAATAAATGGTAAACAAAATGTTCTGTCCTTGTAAAATTGCCTCGTGCATGGATCAAAAGATACTGATAAGCTGGTTCTGTCTCCCTTTAGATTAGAACCTTTAAAGTCAGGATGATTAGACTTTCTGACAGAACAGCAGGGAGTCTTCTGTTTCCACAAAAACAACCGTCTGTGCCCTCTTAAAGGTCATCCACCACAACAACCTGCTACAGGCCTCCATCAGCATTTAAAACTATCTCCAGATATTCTAGGCAAGGAAATAATTTCAGGAAACCATCTCTTCATAAACTTGGAGCGTTTCATCCTTTTTTTTTATTATTATTATTATGCTGCTGTATAACCACAACTTCCCCATTGTGGGACAATAAAGGGATTTTCTTTTTTTAAATTTTGTATTCTATTTTGTATTCTATTTATATCACCTGAGCCACTCTAACTATAAGTTAGTAATCAAAATTATACAGGGCCTAGCTGACACATTAAGTCCATCCAAATTTTGGGTTGGACTGTCTGAAACAGAGAATGGATCTGAATCATTCTGTATAGGACTGTACTCTAAAAACATCTCTAATCTCTACCTTCTAAGAAGCATGATTCTGTGAAGAGGGGATTTGCCAGTTGGCAGGGAGCTGAATGGGAAAATGTTCTTATTCTCCATCACAGAGCAGAGCTGAGGAGGTCATCTCAAGTCAAAATCCAGATCTGTGTGTTTGTCAAATGCACTGCCATGAGAGGCTCCTGTAGCACAGCTCTAGCAGGACATTATGCTTTACAACCATCAGAGGTGAACAAATGAGGCATAAGGAACCACATCCTTTGAGTGAAAGGACTGATAACTGTGCTCAAATAAGGGAAGTAATACAATAAAGGGTCATCATAAATAATGTCTCTTAATGAAAGCTGAAAAGGAAACTTAAACACATTAAAAATGGACTTCTACTTTACTACCTCCCACCTCTGCTGATGAGACTGGTTATTATGGAGAGCTATAAGAAACCAGCTCAGCTGCAACCTTCTGACGGTTTCAGATATATTTCAGCTATGCCTCAACTAAATTACTAATTTGCAATGACTTTTATTTGTCACTTTATGTGATTCATTCCTTTTGGCACAATAAGATCAACCCACGAACCCAAACATGTGATTATATCCTAGAATAAACATTAGGAAGTTAGAGTAATCATCCCAAAAGCCCAGGAGAACAACGGGGCGTTGCAATAATTTCATTCTTCTGTCCCTTTCACCAACCTGCAGTTCTCGGACCACCCTCTTGATGAGGAAGTTGCCCAGCTCCACACCCTGAAGGCCAGCCTGGGTTGAGGAGATGGAGTAGAAGATGGCGGAATTGATCTTGTTTATGTCCTCCTCTGCATCAAGTGTTGCAAATTCACGAACAATACTCTGCAACAATAATAACAGACACAGGTGAATCGTTGCTACGCTGCTATGATAATTACTTTATTGATAACTGAATCTTTTAAAGTTTAGCAGAGCTAAAGCTCAGCCAAAGTTTTGAGGATTTCTGGAAATTAAGCCTTTAGGACCTTCTTTGAACCTCTCTAAGTAATCTGTTTAAACCTACATAAATGAGGAAAAAATATTCCATAACTTGGATTTAATCTTTTTAATTTGGCTTTATTTCTACTTTAATTTCTAGCCTAACTTGAAATTTTCAGAAAGGGAAAAAATTTTACTTCAAGACTATTCATTCAGGTCACCCAGTAGTCATTAAGTTAATGATAAACTTTCTCAGCCAAATCAAGGCTAAGACATGTAATCTTGTACAAACAAAAAGTTTCCAACAGCAAAGAGGCTGTTACTGACCATCGGGAGAACTTTTATATTTTAAAAGACTAAAAATAAAGTAGGACCCTTTCAGGGGCAAAATATTTTGGTTTGTGCTGAAGCTGAATTTCTAAATACTTAGAAAGCAGCTTGTTGCTTCATTGGTTTATTAGTGTAAAAAAAACAACAACAAACAAACTAGAATTTCAAATCCTAGACCAAAGGAACATCATTAGCACATCTATTAAAACTATTATAAACCAGTGCTTGGCCAGTATAAAACCGTAAGCAGGACCATAACTTTTTACCACTCAGCATACTAGAACCTCTATACCCACTTCCATAGTTCACAGCTTTTAGGTTATTTGCTGTTTTAAAATATTGTGTTGAATAAAACCCATTGCTTTGACACAAAAATCGTGGCCTACATTTATGTGGTAAATGAGTGAGGGAAAGTGGAGTAAAATTAGTTCAGCTTCAGAAAGACACAAATCAACTTGAGCAGAGTTGAATGTAAACAGCAGCGCTATGAATAACCCTTCTATACACAAAGAAACAGAGTTTGGACTCAGCAAGCCAGAATTAACAGATCTAAAGGAGAAGCCGATGCTGCAAAAATGGCAATGAATGTTTTGGGATAGAAGTTAAGATCAGGGATAGTGCTCGCTAGGGCTGGGCGATAGGAAGATACATATTGTACGAACGATAGAAAAGTGTCTATAGTGCTAATTCTATTCTATCGTTTCTAACAATTTTATCTCGTATTCAAGCAAATATTTCCCATGATAGACTATGACAAACGTATTAGTGTAGCCACGTAGCCTACACTCAGCTTATAAGTGATAAACATGATTTTTTTTCATTCCACCAAGAAGCGCCATCCTGTGGTTTTGCAACATGATGCTTCTTTACAGCTTTTGTCTCACACGCGGGTTTGCGACATGCTTTAGGTTACTTAACTCATGAGAAATGGAGACGCAGAAGGCTGAAGTATTAAACCTGTGGTCGCAACAAACAGAGACAACTACACAAGCAACCCAGGATGAAGCACTTTTACCAAAAAGAGGGGGCACGTCTGTGATTTGGTTACATTTTGGATTTAAGAATTCCGACACGGAGCAGACAACGATCATTTGTAAACTATGCTACAAGACTGTTCCCTCACCCGACGGCAACACAACACACCTCTTCTATCACCTAAAGAAGAACCATGAAAAAGAATACATAAGGATCCAAAAAGTGTGAGGTAAAGCAAGTTGTGAAACAGCAGGAGGAAGTAGCAAAAATAAAACCCAGAGATTTGCTGAAAACGTACTTTATTGGGGCATATTGCAATATAAAATAGTCTATATCGTGATATATGATTTTTTCCATAGCCCAGCGCTAGTGCTCGCCATTTGGGGGTCCTGATCAGATACACTGTGTGCCCACACCTAAAAGTGAATAATATAGGTAATTCCTCTTTATTTCCAAAAGAATTTCTTAATATTATTGTTTTCGAAAACAGCTGCTATAAATAAAAGGAGAAATTCAAATCTTGAAAAAAAAAAACATTAAACTTTGCCTTAACAATGCTGCACATACTTCCACACAAGATAACTGTTTTACCCATCATGGAGGAAAATTTGCAATGACCACAGAATTTAGGAGGGACAAACTGAGCAAACTACAATGAATAAAATGCAACAATGGGGAGTGTGATACAGAACTAGGTTTCATCCTATAAATTGCTGTTAGAATAAAGCCCTACTCACACAGGATAAACATTATCTAGCTGGGAATCTATGTCATAAATACAAAACTGCCCTATGTTTGTTTTTATGTGGTGCATTTGCACAGGAAAACCAAAGCCTGAGGATTTGCTGAAATTTACGCACATCTCCTTGAGATGTTGTAAACGGTTATGTATTGATTTTGCATCCGATATTGCTTCTTTTCTACAGCTTTTTGTGTTTGAAGGCTCAAGTGGGATTATTCATCACGCTTTTCTATGATTTTTTTTTTCACAACAGTAAAAAGAAAATGTCTCTCAGTGTTTTAAAGCTACAGTGTGTAATTTTCAGCGACATCTAACGTCCAGACTGCAGACCGCAGCAACATGAACATTTCCCCCCCACCGCTTCTCCCCCCCAACAGTACGGCGAGCGTTACGGGACAAAATGTCTTCCACGACATCTGCATCACCTACCTTCTCAAGTGATGAGGTTTGTTTACATAGATAATTTTACAGATAGTATTTCATTAATCTGTGTAGGGTATAGATTTCATGTAGACTTAAGATAATAAATATACCCGTTATTTTTTCTACATCGTTGTGACGTTTTGGTGAGCTGCTTTGCATGGTGATATAAACAGACGAAGTAAATGTAGTCATTAGTTTAACAGCGAGATTGTGTTCGCTGGAAGAATATATATTCCCCGTTTACAGAGTCCAAGTCTTGTTTGTGGCACGGGGGTTACAAGGCGAGGAAGAGGGCAGAGAGGCCAGGGTGGGCGTGCAGCCAGGGCCAGGTGAGGGAGAGGTGCCAGCGGGGTGACTAGAGCAGAGGAGGAAAGGCTTGAAGATCTCCAAAGGAGCCGGAGAGAAGTAACCGAGGTATATATCCAGAAAATTATTTTACAGAAAATTACTGAATCATTACCTGTGAAACGTCAGGGACGTTGCTGAATAAGTATACTGGAGAGTAACAGCATCATCACGCAGCATGTTCTTGTAATGGCCGATCTCGCAATCGCTAGTTTGTTGGCTCTGCGCTGCCGTAGCACAAAGATGTCTGCCTCCATGGCTGCGAGACCCGCTCCTATGTAATTATAAATAACGAATTCTAAGGCAACGCAAATATTAAGGTTAAGAGGCTGAGCTCGTAGATGATGATAAATAACATAGTTATGTATAATATATTACATTTCTGACTGTATATCCCTGTAATTATTACACACTGTAGCTTTAAGAAACAGCAGAAGCAGCTAAAGAAGAAAACAAAATAATGTTCAAACTAGAGTGCAGATAAAGTCCAAAATGCACAGAATTATGTGCGTTAATGGCATAAAAAAAAAAAAAAAAGAAGGCCATTGAAAAAAAGATGCATTAATGCACATTAGCACGTTAACATTGACAGCCCTAATTGGAACATTGTTTTTTTTTTTTTTATGTTCCTGTTGCCAAGCTGTTTTTGATTTATTAGCTCATGTCTCTGTTAAAGTAACACCTATAGTGTAGCTTATTCACTACCTAATTACATACTGGGCTCATGGTTGGGAGTGTGGGTGGCGGGGATACCATGGGAGAGATTAAAGAGAGCTCCATATTTTTCCTGAGCAAACAGTTATGCATTATCTCAAATATCTTCTTATTATGATTAAATAATTTTTTGGAAGCCCAGTTTTTTGTGGGTTCTCCCATTGGTACCTGTGGGACCGTGCATAACACGTTTACTGCACTCAGTAGAGTAATATGGAAAGTTACATGTTAAGACCAGACCTAGTAGTGAGAAATAAATATATTTCACAAAACAAACCATTATAGGCTTGCAAAGTCTGAAGATGGATTTAGCCTCTCTTGGCTTTTGAAAATTTTTGATTTGATATATTATTTTTTAATGTTATATCTTTATGTCAACAATATGGGGTTTAAAGTTAATAAAAAAAGGCTTTATGACACTTTAATGCCATGTCCATTTTAAATTGATCCAATCTAGCAAACAATCGAAGCATCCTATTCAAGATGGATTTTCTGTATACTCAGAGGTGCCTGGCATAGAGTTCAACTCAGACATTAATGGCAAATCCAAGTAAGGAGAAAAAAGAAGTACGAACGAGGCCTAAAGAAAGAGCAGAGTAGTGTTGCAGTTCTGTATTTTGGCCAAAGGTGGCAGCATCATTAGAAAGCTGTTTAGTATGTGTTTAGAACAGAAGAGCTAATGATTACTGCATTATCAAATAAACAAATTTAAAAAAAATATTACATTTAACTGAAAATATTGTGCATATAACCACCCCTCCATAAAAAAAACACACAACTTAAATGCAAATAAAAAAATTGGAGTTGCTCCCACAACGATGTGCAGAACAACGCTCTTCCCTTTACATGTAGCTCTTGTTTCTGACCTGGATGTTATTGGAGATGTCCTCAGTGAGGGCCACGTGCAGCACAACCAAAGGCTCTCCTGGCATGGCGGCGTGGGTGAAGGCGTAACACCGTCTGTATGGGCCCACTCTGCGCTTAAGGTCCGTCCAATTCCTTACAGGATGCACCGCCTCATACCTGATAGAAAAGCTCAGTCAGATCTTACCATTTCAAATTTTGGCTTTAAAAACCCTGGATCAAAAATACTGTAAGCTGTCTGATGATGAGCGTTAAAATCAACCCTTATCAGAAGCATCAACTCGCCAACATCAATGGTGACTAATTCTCATGTCTGTTGCTTCTGTCCGAATATTGCTTGCACAGGTCATGTTAGCTGAGTGAGATTGATGCAATGTACAGGCCTCCATTCATTTACTGCACTGCTGCATGGTTTTAACCTTATATTTCAAAAGGGACTCCTCAGACACTTCAGGCAATGGTGATACACGGAGCAAAAAGCATCTCATGCAACAACACAAGGGGTCGGCTCAAACTGACACAGTTCTGGGCTTGCAATTAGACCCCTGTCTAAAAAAATAACTGGGTAAAATTTCATGCTTGTATACTTCCACAGCTCGGTGCTGTGGCTCAGCTGGTAGAGCTGCTTGTTGGCTAATTGCAGAGTTAGTGGTTGGCTGACAAAAATGGAAAAAGAGAATATATATTTTTTTTAATCAGCCATTTAATAACTTTTCTTGGAGCAGTTACTCTAAATCTGCTCAGTGTTCAGGTGCAGGGTAGGGCCTTCATTAACTCGTCATCAATCAGGAACAGGTCTGCAGTTGATCCTGACAGTGGGGGCTTTTATTTTAATGGGTGTCCTCCACTGAATTACTGAAAACAATTCAGAACTCTCTCATCTTAATTACTATCCTATAAGCAAACTTAATAACCACAATCTAGTTTTCCTTAAACTTAATCTGCTGTAAATCTGGTTATATGACCTCAATAAGCAACATCTAAAAGCAAATGATCACTGGTTGCTGCATTGGCCTGATGATGACCCTTAAAAGAGAAAAAGAAAAAACTGAAAAAAGGATGGGGGCTGTTTTTCAGTCCTACGGTGTATAGTGGATGAACTAATACAGAAAGAGGATCATCTCAACCAAACTCTGTTACAGTCCTGACTCAAGGGTGAGAGTTGTCGTTTGTGCGACCAGCTAGCCACAAGATTTTAAAGAGAGATTTTAAATTAAGCCTTTATTTATTTGCATAATTGCTAAACCCAGTTTAGACCCAGGCTTTACGTCTGATGCTGTAGCACGCCTTTGTTATTCTATAAAGATTTTACTTTGACTTAAATAAAAGGCCAGAAAAACTGCCTGTGCCCCCCTGAAGGTTTGTCTCTTGAGCAAAGATATGCTTCAATCAGCTCGTTTTAATGACGTTAATTGGTGCTTGTAGTGCATATATAATAAATAAGTCTTAAAACATTTGTGCTTAAATAGGAGATCAAAGATTTTAAACCCTGTTGCAAATCTTATTTGCACTTTTTAATATATAATAAAACATGTGTAATCTGTTTAAGACAGATTTGTCACAGAATTTTAAAAAGAAGCAGTAGGTCTGTTGCTGTTTGCTGCAGAAATGAACACATTTCTGGGTTGAACTTTAAAAAGACAATGTTTGATTTTCATTAAAGTTTCATGACATTATTTCCTGGTTTATTCACCAGAACCTTATGCATAGAAAAGTTCTGGACAATAATTGTGTCTTTCATCAGGACTCGGATTAAAAAAAAAAACAAAACAAAAAAAAAACACATGGGTAATATGGATCCTCCTTCTTCTACTGCCATTACAGATCTAAGACCTAAATTATGTAGAAATCAGGCTGAGCTGCCAAGAATAGAGCAGCCAAAAGGAACCAGGACTCTGGACCAGGTAGCGAAGTGATCCCTCTCTGGCTGTGATCCATTAAGTGGTGTCCGACTGGGAAAGAGAACTTGTACAACGCTTCTGGTGCTGCTGAATTTGTAAACAAAAACGTCTGCTAACCTGATTTGCTTTCCTAATACTTTAATTTTTTTTTTTTTCAAAATTATTATATTTTACTGTGGGAGATTATAATACGGCTAAAGACAGATTCATTTATTTGACCGTTTTTTGAGACTTTCCCAGGTTGAGTGCATGCAACTGCACAAACAGAAGAACCGATGATCATATGGAAAACATGAAGGGTTCCTACTGGCTGATCTTCTGCAGGATCTCACAGGGGGACTGCCAGGTGATTCTTTCAAGTCGGAGCAGACCTACAGAAAACCACTCGGACAGCAGGCTCTTCAGGGTACTGTTCAGTTCCTGCAGGAAGAGAAAACAACAACATCCTTGTTGAGCTGATATTTAAAACTGTTCCTCTGAACAAGAGCAGCTGTCATTCAAAGAATTCAACAGAAAATTAAATGATGGTGAAGAACATGAAAACAGAGGCCCTTATATGCAACACTGCATCTCTGAAGGGAGAAATGCTTCCTGTTCTACCTTTTAAAGAAGCCTGAAATCATTCCTGCAGCTTCAGACATTTTACACGTGTTCTTATATTGCAAGAGCTCCAACTTAGAAAAACCATAATATTGCTCTGATTCGCTTATAGCTGGCAGCAGGAAATGAAGTACTCCCGACTCCTATAGCACACATCGTGCCGGCCGCACAGTCCCCTGGCTGTCTGCACGCCGTTTGTTTACACGTTATGAATAGCGATTTACTGGAGCTTGCTATGGACATAGAAGGGGCATTTCAATAAACACCTTGCCATTTCAAAGCACGCTTGTCCTCCAGCAAAGGTCAGACTTCATTTAAAGCAAATCTCAAACCCACAAAAAAGCATATGCAGCCTTATGGCACAGCGCGTACATGTGGCCCAGACGGACTGCTCCATAAAAAAGGCATCCCTTCAGGTTTCCTTTAATAGTGGCTTGTCAATCACAACAGCTAATACCAAACAAACAATGGCTGGGCTTTAAAAGCTGCCTTCAAATCCAAATCTGACTAAATTGGATATTCCTCTCCACATGCAGGCATAAATACATCAGGGCCTTCATCACTCGCCTCCACGGCACAGAGATTAAGGAAATAACTTTCTGTTAAGCAAAACTTTCATTCCTACTTGTGTGATGCACGGTGTGTGTGTGTGTTTCTAAAGTTGCCGGAGGTGGAGTAATGTATTTTGCTCTATAATCCAGGCTAACAATTTCTGCTGGGAACGCAGCAGCTCTATAGTAGTAGAGCCGCCGCCGCCTTGGGAAACAAACCTTTAACCACACAAAAGGGAGGTCAAGCTGAGATATGTATTTCATTGACCCTGCAGAAGATGGAGTCTTTAGAAATGGAGGGATCAAAGCCTTGGGCTGGAAAGAGACCGGGCAGCAAAGGAAAGGACTAAAGAAGAAAATCCCTCATTCTGTATGAGGGAAAATGAGGCAGCAGGTTTTCCTGTTGGATCTCTTTTTGGACAATAATGACCCTGACGCTGGGTGCTGATCCCAACTCTAAAACAAGGACCTCCTCTGCCTTATTCTGCAGGAATATGAAGAATAGCGGTAATTAGGAAAGGAAAGGTCTGTATGAGACCATTAATAAAAACTTGGACCTCCGTTAAAGAAGGATAAGTTTATAAATCCTTCACTAATAACTGTAATGTAATTGGAATTCTCAATTTCAAACAATTCCTGGAAGTTTTAGGACAATTAAATGAACATTATGGTAGTTTGATTATTTTAATCTGATGCATTTGTCAGTTTTACAGCATTCTGTAGCCCATTAACAGGTTTGTGTTAGTTTCCAATGTATTTTACAGAGAGATTAGGAAAGTTATCAGAAAGTGTAATGAAATTAAATTTAAAAATGTTTTATTTAGGTTGATTTTTTTTTTTTTTTTAGAAATTAGTGGACCTCCCCTTTAGTGCTGCTGAGGAGCAGAGCTGCTGGCTTCACCCTCTTCCTCAGGCTGACAGAGATTTTACGGTTAGATTAAGGGGGCCATTACTTTCTCGCAGGTCCTAGCTGGTTTGGATATATTCTCCATCATTAAAGTAAATCATCATTTAAAAAAAAAAACAAAAAAAAAAAAAAAACTTTAATTTTAAATCTGTTTATCTTTGTTGCGTTTTCTTGTTCAGTACTCATGTTTGACAATAAACCACACTTCTTTTGTTGGATAACTGTGTTCACTTTATTGCTAACGTTCCAGTTATCAAAGTCTTCACTTCTTCTATTTTATTAGAACAATGCAGCCTACACACGAACTTGGTCTCACTGCCCCCAGTGGACAACAGCAGTACAACATGCACATACAGAAAGTGACAGGATGCAGAACTTACAACTATACCTTTCAATGTAAATTAGAATGTATGAACACATAACATAAAATAACTCAAAGACAAGTTAAGATGAGAACATATTCTAACACCCTCCCTTGTTCTCATCTTCTTTACCTTCAAATACTTAATGTCCAAAAAAAACATCCTTTGAATTTCAGGAATTTTGCTTTTGGTGCGGGTTTGGTTAAGATATCAGCAACCATATTTTCAGATGGGCAGTACACCACATTTATTTTCCCTTCTCTCAATGCATCACGTATAAAATGATACTTCACATCAATGTGTTTGGATCTCTGTCTGTTCACAGGGTTCTTACACAATGCAATGGCCCCTTGGTTATCACCATGAAGCGTTGTACAGCTGTACTTTTTGCTATCCATACCATTTAAGAGTTGACTTAAATGTAGACTTTCTTGTGTAGCAGCTGTTAACCCAATGTATTCAGCCTCACAAGTGGAAAGAGCCACAGTTGGTTGTTTCTTGGATTTCCAGGAAATGACTGGACCTTGTGACGTTAAACTAAAACAATAACCTGTGGTGCTGTGTCTGTCCTCTACTGAGGATGCCCAGTCAGAGTCACTGTAGGCTATGAGGTTCAAGTCTTCATTGCTTTTCTTGAAACTAAGTTCATACTCACAAGTACCTTTCAGATATCTCAAAACATGTTTAGCATTCACTAAATCCTCTGTCATAGGTTTAGCTAAAGTCTGGGAAAGTTTGCTCACTATCCAACTGATGTCTGGTCTGGTGCAGGTCATGGCATAAATCAGACTACCTACTATCTCACGATAGTCTGTAGGATTCATTATTTTTGTTTCATCGCACTCACGATTTTCTTTGTGATCAAGTTTTAGTTCGCATGGGGTGGATCTTGGTTTGCAGTCCAACATTCCATATTTTTCCAACATTTTTAGGATGTACTTCTTTTGGCTCATTTTTATTTCATCTTCTTTTTGTTCAAAATGTATGCCTAAAAAATGCGATATTTTGCCTAAGTCCTTCATGTTGAACTTTGATTTCATTGTTTCTTTGAAACTGTCCAAAACATCAATGCTGTTGGCAGCAATGATCAAGTCATCCACCCAAATGAGCACAATAACCGTGTCATTTTCTGTTTGTTTTCTATACACACAATGATCAACTAGGTTCCTTTCAAAGTTGTTTTGTTCAAGATGATCATTCAGGAGTTTGTACCAGTTTCTTCCAGATTGTTTTAATCCATACAGAGATTTCTTTAATTTATACACACATTTCTGTCCTGTTTTTGTTTGTTTTTCAAACCCCTCGGGCTGTTCCAAGTAAATTTCTTCGTCAATTGGGGCATGCAAATAAGCTGTTTTGACATCCATCTGATGTACTTTAAGGTTGTTCTGAACTGCTATCTGCATTAATGCTCGCACTGATGTTATGTTAGCTGTTGGAGCAAAGGTTTCATGATAGTCTATACCTTCTGTTTGGCTGTAGCCTTTTGCTACATACCTAGCTTTGAAAATCTCTTTTCCTTCCTTTTCTTTGAGTGTATATACCCACTTCCCTCCAACTGTGTTCCTACCCTCTGGTAGAACGCTCAGTTCAAATGCTTCGTTTTCTTTAAGAGAGTCAATTTCGTCTCTCATTGCCTGTCTCCATCTGTCTGCCTGTGGTGACTTCTGAGCTTCACTGAATGTTTGAGGGATACCAAGCACAGCCCTGTAACAATGATCAACAGTTATTTGTGTTGCATCTTTAGTCTTAGGATCTAATTGGTAATCTTCAAGGTATTTTGGGGGTCTTTTCTCTCTTTTTGGATAACGATCTCTTTGCTTTGTTTGAGTTTGATCATCATCAATTTCACTGCCAGTGAGATCATCTGGAAATTCTGCATTTTGAGTTCCTTGAAGAGTGAGTTCCTCTTTGTCACTTGGGGTGACATTTTGGGTAACATCCTGGGTTAAGGGTGTTACATCATGTCTGTATGCCTGCATCGGGTATCTATGATCTTGGATCCCTTCATCCCAAATATCTGTCTGTATCTGTTGGTCAACACCACTTTCTTTGATGAACCTTACTAGTCTGTGTCTGGAAACTTTTCTCGCCTGTGGGTGGTACACCAAATAAGCTGGGCTGTTCTTGCTGTACCCTAAAAACAGTCCCTTTTCCCCTCTTGAGTCTAATTTCTTGTGGTGGTTGTTGTATGAGTAACACTCTGATCCAAATACCCACATGTTTGAAAGATTGGGCTTTCTTCCTGTCATCAAGAAATATGGGGTGTTTTTGGTTCTGTTACTATAACATCTGTTGCGAATGTGGGCAGCACACTGAATAGCATATGGCCACAGTTCTTTAGGTAAGCCCTTTTCTGATAACATACACCTTCCCATTTCAAAGAGCGTTCTCCACTGTCTCTCTGCTTTTCCGTTTTGGTGTGGTGAATATGGTGACGACGTTTCATGTCTAATGCCTTTATCTCTGAGTAGTGTTTGAAAATCATTACATGTGTACTCGGTACCATTGTCTGACCTAAGACATTTAACATTACCATAGGGTGCACAGTCTGCCAGAAACTGCTTTGTTGCCTTAGTCACATCACTTTTGTTTTTCAGAAAATAGACTGCAATAGATCCTGAGAAGTCATCAGTAAAGGAAATCGCATATCTGTGTCCTTCTAAGCCTGTAGGGTCAATGGGTCCTGATAGATCAGTATGAACCAACTCTAGTGGCTTGCTCGTTTTAACATCTGACTCTTTGTTTCTGCTGTTGATAAATTTCCCTACTGTACAGATGTTACACTCCATTTTACTGTTGTCAGTGACTTTCATTCCCTCCACCACATTTTGTAATTTCATAACATCAGCCATGTTACAATGTCCTAATATTTCATGCCATGTTTTCAGATCACAAGCTAGCTTCACTTTATCTCTGCTCATCATGTCATTTAAGTTTTCCTCAATGCATCCTTCATTATTGCTTTTCATTCTGAGGTAATACAGTTTCTCATGTGCC